CATTATTATTTTCCCTGGCTTATTTGCTGCAGATGTTTGGGAGTTGATTCTGTATTGCACACTAAAACCATCTGGCATTAATTTGCCCATTCTTTGTTTTGTTTTCTATGAGTTGAACACAGTTGAAATTAATGTGTAGAATCTTTTATCACTTGCCAGTTGACCAAAGTAATGAGGGGTGTGTAAGCTTTGTGCTTAGCTTTATGTTTTGTAGCTCTAGGGCCCTAAACCACATGTTTTTGTAGCCTGTATATATATATTCACAGCATGTGTGTGGATATCTGTAGCCATATGCAAAACTAGAAAGACAAACCCAGTGTTGAGCCAGCAAGAAAGGAATTATACATTTCATTGATCCGTGACTCGTTTTTGCAGAAAAACACAAAGGGAGAGGATGCCTGCCAAAATAGTTTTCTTTTTGTTTCTCAGGAAATTAAGACATAATGTTGATGTGAACTGCAGTTTTATTATATAGTGTTTTAGAGTCGTATTCTTCCTAGCTATTAAACAAAGCAGTTTTCTTTGAAGCCTTGAAATGACTTGTGATCCTAACCTTCCAACATGGATTTCATAATATCATGTTGAAGAAGCATGTCTCACCTGGTGTTGAAATTAAACTAGCTGAAAGGTACAAAAATAAAAGCCGATATTCACAGGTACTGTGAAAAGCAGGCATTGTGGCTGTGCTTCAATTGGAGGTAGAAATTTTTATTTGTCACAAAGAGATGTTTGATGGATTTTAAGGATCTGTCTGCAACTGACTCCTAGTAGCGTGAAAACGTAATAAAGTAGGCTTTTTTTTTTTCAGAAGATGATCATCAGAAATAGGATTGTCATGGTTTTAGCTCCATATTGGTAAAGTTAATCTACAGTCCCACCTTAGTTTTGACTAAAATTATTCAGCAGCGACCACACTTTTCAACCTTTCTATAATTATACGGAATACACACTAGTTGATTCAAGTTTAATATGAACCCAGAAGATTAAGTAAGAGCATAGTAAGTGCTAATTTCCCACACAAGACAAACAACCAATGTGTGCACACACTGCCAATGCAAAATCCATAAAAGTTGATTATTAAAGTTTCTTTTACTCATACCCTGTAGTACAGGGGTGTCCAAAGTCGGTACTCGAGGGTCGGCATCCTGCATGTTTTAGTTCTCTCCCTAGTGGTAGTAACAACCTCTTCAGCAAGTCAATGTTCTCCTTAGGCCTCTGATGAGCCATTATTTGATCCAGGTGTGCTAAACCAGGGAGAGAACTAAAACATGCAGGATGCCGGCCCTCGAGGACCGACTTTGGACACCCCTGATCTAGTGGAACAGTTTCTGACCAAAGTCAGGCAAGATTTCATATGGGAAGGATTGGAGGGGATAACAGGGGGTGTTTCCTCTATATTGTCAAGATCTAGATAAAGTTTCCAAATCTTACCTTTTATTTCGGTTGGAGGCTGTAATTGTTGAATGCCTGAATAAACTGTCAGCTTACACCAATTTTGTCCTCAGACATCTGGGCCATTCAAGATTTGGCCCATTAGTCCTCCTTCAGTGCCTGCACATTTTTGGCTTCACTACAGAGAAGACGAGATAGCGGCTCAGATGACGCCAAAGGTAATCACAGGAACTTGAATGAGCCTCCACAAATGGTGAGCGGGCCAGACTGATAAGTTGGACAAAAAGCAGATTGGAAGTTAAAAGGAAGTTTTATTCCATGCCTTGCTAATTGCTGATTGGAGGACAGATTGAAGTATCACTGACTAATCTAGGTGGAAACAAATTGATTATGCTTTGACTATAGTTGTTTCAAATTGGCTCTCCTTCCTGTTAGAGCAAATGATTAGATTATTTTAAAAAAAAACTTGAAAGAAAAACTGAGATATGAGTATTTAGACACATGTTCTGGTTACTTTTAGGAGCAAACATATTAAAAGTCTTGCCTGTTTTTATAATTTTTATGTAAAAGTATAAAAACACTAAAACCATAAATGACAAACTTGTATTATGTGTCATGTAATAAAACCTTTCTTTGATTTGATTTTTAATGTTACATATTCATGAACCAACTTTGCAGTTTCCCATGATAGACAATGATCAAGCTGCTTCTTTGGTGTATGAAGCAACCTGTGCTATAGCTGTGAAAAGCTCAAGGATTCTCCTTTTCCTGCCAACATGTCACCAGCAGTGTGAACAAAAGACACTGCAAGAAAGAAAAACCGAACAGGATAAGTCATAAATCTCCGTCATCTCGTGAAGTTTTCTTAGCGACACCCCTTCAAAAAGAAACAGTTAAGTGTGTGCAGCTGTTGTACGTATGTGTGGCGAGTGTGGCTTCTGAAGTCCTCTAATGATGATAAATAACACAATGGTTTTGGGTTGTCATAAAATTTCCTGCATACCAAGTTGAATACAAGGTGTTGAATCTAATTGAGTTTTCTATTTTTTTTCCCCCTTAACAGCTACTGCGAATGTTTTTCGGTAACTTAGCTAAAATCTTGTCAAGTTCATTTAGCCCTAGCATGGCCATTACCTTCCTGCTTGAAAACAATTCTCGCTTCCAGCACAATCTGGGCTTTCTCCCCTTCATTTTCATCGTCACTGGTGGACTTTTTACTGGGCCAATCAGTGAACAGAATGAGAAGTTGTGAACGATGGTGTTAATTTTCTGCACTGTTTTAGAATTGTAGTCTGCCTGTAGTTTTAGCAATGCGAGTGGAGAAAGTGAACAAAGCCGTTCAGACCATGTTGGTCATGCTTCCAAATATTGGATTAACATTAATAGCTTGAACAGCGTCTCGTTTAGTCACTCCATCTAACTCTCTCTGAATCTTATCCTCCCCCACCAAACACAAAAATGTTTGCATACATATTCCGTACTACAATGCTACATAATCACACAATGAATATTGATACCAAAATATCACATCAGCATCAAAACAACCAAAAAGTAATTCCTGTAAGATCAAATTAGGTTTGACATTTTTGGTTCTAGATTCTTCTTCTGCTACTAGATAAAAAGAGGGAAATTCTCTTTAGCGATCTCTACTGTCTAAAGAGAAAATTGCAGTAGGAGTTACTTGCATAGAAGCAGAATAAGCCATGTTCAAGTACAGCTGTAACTTAACTTTTAACTAACAGTAGTTTGAATTATGATTGTATTTAGTGTATTAATACACTCTGAATACAAGTCATTTGGCCTACTAGTTGTATTCTTAAATCTTGCTCTGACAGGTTACATTGAAGAAACACCGGAAATGATGTGCAACATCTAAAAATCAAATCCAACTGTTCAGTTGGCTTCAGATGCAGCACAAAAAGTCCTGAAGCCAACAAATTAGTGAAAGGCATTGTCCTCACAAGACTTTTGAATTGAATGAGAAGCAGAGCTCGGATTTCCCGGCCAAGAGAAAACTTTCAAGACACATTGACAGAAACGTCTCGAAGAGGAGAAACCCTATCCTGCACATGTCATTGTAATTTGGGAATATTGTATGATTTAAAGAGTTGAAAGAAGACGACTGTGGAAACACAGACCTTAGAGATGGGACACACAAAGGAGGTTTGTTCTTTGACAAAGAAAACCTTGTTAGCATTTCTTTTTTTCCCCCCCATCATCCCAGAAAAGAGTTCAGACAAACCAGTTTGTTTCCTTGGGATGCTGATGTGATTTTTATCTCCAACAAACTCTTCCCAAATAGAAATATGTTTGATTCTTACTGATCTATAGAAAATCTCTGGGCAGACACATTTTGAGCTTACAGTTGTTTGGTTTGTTGTGACTCCAAAAGGTTGGCTAAAGAAAAGCATTAAATTTTTTATAAGAAACTGACCCAACACACTGGGTGAGTTCCTCACAAAATACAAGGTCATACATTCATGTGTTTTGCCATTCTCTTTGTGTTTTTACTAACATGTATGTAGTACTACATATATGCCATGCGTTTTTATACCGTTCTATATCAAATGAGTAAGAACAGGAAAGGAAAAATGCCATCTGCTTATTTTTCAGTAACAAAAGATTTAATTAAGAGTTTGTAGCTAGTTCTAGTCAAATATAGAATACTTTATGAATTAAAATACCTACAAATGAAAAAGCTAAGGAAGGAACACAATTTATGAAACTGGTTCCCATATTCTGTCCAAGTGGCGTTCGAACAAAAATATGAAAAGATGGCAAGTTATTGTATTAGTCTTGAGCTCATCTGCTGAATTTACTGTTTTGATTTATGTATTGATGGCTGTTTAAAATGTGTCTGTAGTCACATAATGACTGGCAAACAGAACAGGATGTCTTGAAAGAGATATTTATGGTCCTGTTATTCTTTTAGGCTTTTCCAGAAGCACCACAACAAAGGCTGATCCACACAGAGAACTTCGAGTGATGAGTTTCCAAATTGGCTACAAATATTAAGAATGTGATGCAAGAGAAGTCTAAAATGCAGGAGTTATCTTTATGAAAGTATTTGCAGACACTTGAATAAAAAGTGAGGAAATCTGGTAAAGCTTCCAAGTACAAAACCCTTTCAGTGTTTTCATGCAGGATTAAAACAGTGAAGTGACAGAGATATACAGTCAAAACATTTGAGAGTTTTTATGATTTTTAAGCCTCTTTGGATCAAGATTTGACCAATTTGTCCTATTAGTTTGATTTCAGTTTAACAGTTTTATGAGGAGAGATTTAGAAGGATTCATTGAAGAAGTTAGTGGAGAAGAAATCAGAGCTAAAGTAAAAGTTTAATCGGATCACATTTTAAGTTGGTTTCTTTTGTTGAGTTATTGAAATTATGGGGATTCATTCAGCTGACCTCTTTTCCTAATGCATCGTGTCTTTATGGGTCTGGGTACCTTATAATTTAGAGGAAGATTTGTTGTAAAAAGGGGAAAAAATATGGTAGTCCCCCTTGCATTATGTTTTGATGTTGAATAAGAACCAAGTGCAGGTAGGAGGAGGAGTGACAGTTGATGAAATTGAGTTTCCATTAAACGAAAATGGAAAAAACTTACAAAAGTGCTGAAGACACAAGTGGAGTTGAGGTTGGTGACTCAATAAGGACCAATCCAGCCAGTCCTGTGGAGAGAAAAGGATATTGCAACAGCTGTTTTCTAAAAAATGTCTACATACACATGGAAAGAACTTTGCAGGGGACATGATTGCTGGACTGGAAGCAGGTGGGACTAATTAACTGGATAGGGAACAGCTGTGGAGGAGCATTTATGGAGGGAACAAGTAAAAAACAAGAATTTAGTTTATGGGTGCTTTGTCATTCCTCCACTGAGTTTCCAGTCCGGTGTGTTTCCAGCTCAAACCTCTGCACCATCCATCTCAGTCATTCTGTGACACTTCACCCACCTTGCCTGCAGGTGGTGGTCAGAGGGCTTGGTGGATATGGCAGCTTTGCTTCTTTCAATCTGCCCTGGGGCAGCAGTGTAGCTCTCCACCATCAGTGCCTGAAAGTGTGTATGACTGAATGTAGCACAAAGCTCTTTGGAGTCCTTGCACTTGATGAAGCCCTATACAAATGCAGGCCATTTGCCATTTAAAAACGATAGCTAAACGAACATAAATGAACAACAAAGCTACAAAGCAATGCAAGGGAGCAGGATTTACAGCAAATACAGGAACTAAATGCAACACAGTGTCAAAGACTGTCATATTATTGAGGTTAAACAGGAAGTACAACCAAAACAGAACTTAAACTGATACATGAAAAACATGAAGTTCTTTAACACATGACTGTATAATTTATTTTATCACTCTGACCTCTTTCTGGGTCATTAATTGTTTGGGCTGTTGCAGGAAGGAGTCTATTTGCTGGAGTGAAGCAGGTAAAGCTGATTGAGAACACTTGAGCCGGATCGTTAATGCCTGGGTGTTGTGCAGCTGGTGGGAATCGGTTTCATCTCCCCCTCACCCCTCTTTGCCATGCTTGTCCCCCAGGTTCAGATTTCCATTCATTTAGTTTAGTTAATTTAAGTGTCAACATTTACATTCCATATCGTCACCTATCCACATTGACATGGCCAGTTTAAACAGCTTCATACAGCAGTCAGCTATAAGTGCATAACTTTCTTTAAAATAAATATTTGTAAACAGGTTTATTAATAGCTCATGTTTTTTGAAGTTAGAGCATGGAGAGCGGTCACAAAAAAAGGTCAAGGTTAATGAACAAAAAGGTGCATCAGCATAAATACTGTACATCACAATTTCCTCTATCAGCCCTCCATCTCTTCATTCATCCAGTAGCTCTTCCTTCATTCTCTTCACTCATTGGTTGTCTGGGACATGTCTGCGGTTCTCTGGGATCCGCCTGCGTGAACATGTCCTCCCACCTGCAGACTGCCAAAACCCCTTAATTTGTCACTTACTGAGTCGGTGTGTTTTGTGGCTTGCAAGGTGCTAGCAGAAGCGCTTCAGAAAAGAAAACCTCAGGCAAACGAGGCCAGAGATGAAGGAGATGAAGGAGATGTGGTCGACGGTTTGCATTGCTTTGTAGGTGTGCTGAAAGTACAAAACCGCACAGACTGCCTCCGAGAGAAACCAATACAACATTCATCTGTTTACACTGCAAACTTAGCTTGTTTGGTTTTTTCAAGATGGACACATTGGTTTCTAAGCAAATTTGTTTAGCGGGTTATTTATATCACTGTCAGTTTAGTTAAACCGTACACTTGATGATCACTGGCAGGCTCTTCACATCCAGAACTTGGCATTTGTGTGGTCTGAGCCACAAACCTACTATTCACTACCAGGCATGCCTGGGGGAGGTTTATGAAGCTCAAAAAGAAGATATTTCTTGAATCACATCACAAACTCACATGTCATCTGTCAGTAGTATCAACAAGAATCAACTGTGTTCTGATGAAATATTGATAAAACTGTCTTCTGAGTGGGAGGACTGAAGATTTACTGGTCACATGAGGCTGTGGGGGACTTGTTGCAGCATGTCAAAGTCTGATTTGGTATCACAAAAGAAGAACAATTTAGCAGGCTAGTGGTTTACTCACACCAGTTTAGTAATAATCCAAACTATATCCTATACTGTTGTAGGTTTGGATTAAATTGTAGAGTATTAAATAAGATCAATAAAATATTTGTTTTTACTATAGAAACATTATGCTATGGCCTATAGCATCATGGAGAAGACTTTGGCAAAAGAATGAAGAAGCACATTAACCAAGTTCTTCACAGTTCTTGAGGACCACTGTGAAATCTCCAGAGCCAACTACCCGGTCATTTCAGAGCACTTCCTGCAGTTGGGTTTTAGACAGATCATCATTTTACTATCCAGCAGGAGTTAACACCTGCACAATTGCCAAAAGTACCAGCACCTGCTTTAATGACCATGTTATCACAGTCGTTAGCTGACCATCAAACTCACCTGACCTACGTCCCATAGATAACGTATACTGCATTTTCAAAAGGAAGATGAAAGGTTCATTGTCTCCATGCTGTGCCACATTAATGCAGTAATAATCCATGAAAAAGTAGCCCAGACCAATTATTTAGTGGATTAACCATGCAACACATCGACATCCCAGAAATTAATCATTGGTCTTATTTAATATTTACTTTTTCTAAGAAACTGAATTTCATGTTTTCAGCTAATCTTTGATTCTTCAACAGGACAAGAATTCCAAAGACATTACAACTGGTTTTGAAGCTGAAAAAGGATGATAACTGTTTTCCCTAAATACCAATTTTTTTTCAAATAAATCAAGTCTCACAGCAACAGGTCCTTCATGATTGATGTTGGAACCGCAACAGAACACATTAATGGTTATACTCAAGAAAAAGTAGGCAATCATAATCAAGCAAAAAATTTGCCATTAAGTCAACACTGCTGCAAAAAAAGAGCCCTGTCTATGAATGTGTCACAAAGACCGACTAATGTACAGTCTGGGGATCAAATATGTGACCATTACTGATCTATATCTGAAACAGTCAGGCGTGTCTGCCAGCTATTAAAAGAGGACATTTGTTCTTAATATTTTTGATGGACTGATGCACTTACAGATTTCAGCAGTCGTTTGATAACTTAGCAACTGAAGCATCAGTGGTTTTAGTGAGTGCCGGAGAACAGCGGATACAGAACCAAAAGCCGAAAGGAAAACATTCTCAGGAGAGATTACTTTGACAATGACATACAGTTGCCTTTGTCATCCAGTCGCATGTGCACATGAGCAGATGTGTGAGGCCGCCCCCGTACAACAGGCACACACAATCGCCTACACATTTCTCCCATTACTCTTCTGTTGCTTCCATGGATCATGTTTTCCAGATGCATTCAGAAACGGATGAGATTGGCAAAGGCAGAAAAAGAGAAAGCAGATAGTCCCTGATTTCAGCTTGATGAGGTAGTGAACGATAAAGTGAGAGCAGGAAACCAAGAAAGGGAGAAGAAGGAGTGGATAGAGATGTGTGCATGTCTGATGATTAATGCCTGGAAGGTGAAGGAGTGGAATCGGGAGGTCAAGGGAACTGCTAGCAGGACAGGGGGAGGACGGGGGAGTCTAAGCGTCTTTTTTTTTTCCCAGCTGAAGAAAACACATGCTGGCATCATGGTGATGTCTGTTTTAACAATGAGACTGGCCTGAACAGGTTCCTTAACTTTCTCTCTTCGTGCAGAGCTTACCTTCAGCTCTCCTGCTTTCCAACAACAAAATGACAACTAACTTGAAAAAAAATAAAAAATAAAGATTTTAAACCACATGCATCTTATATGCTTTTCTGTTGCGTAACTTCCATGAAGGGTTTTGGAAAGGCAAAAGGTCAAACCAGAACACAGAAAAAGCCCAAGAGCCCCGTTAAAGATATCTGGAGAATGCTGAACATGGCCGACAAATGAAGGGACAGCTGCGCTCGTCCCAGAGCTCCCCGCTCTCTCAGGAACAGGAAGTTACAAGGCCGCTCACACACGCCTGTGTTTGCTTAGTCTCTGACACGGAAAGACAACCAACACATGAGATGGGAAGAGGGGGGAAGAGGACGCAAAGAGAGTGGAAAAAAAGAGTTGGAGGGTAAAAGACTTATGCTAAACATTAGTTTTATTTGTCTGTTATTCAGATTCCTCACAGAATGGGAAACATACACACAGGCAGGTTGCACAGCACATTTTCAGCCTTAACTACTCTCACAACAACAACTACTTCACATGGAGAGAGTTTCACAGTATTTTAACCTAAAGTAAAAACAAAACTGGGTCATACAGTTATGACCATAACATTATTTAAATGGTTTCATTAAATGAAACAAATTATTTTATTAAATGAAAATTATGCTAAATCAAGTAGTAGCTCGTGGTTAGGGTTATTACACTATTTTTCCATTCAGCTTGAGTTAATGGGTTAATTAGGTTTACCAATTAGTATTTTCTCTTGGCAACTTCAGTTTCAAAGCATTACCTAATTCTTCAGTTTCCACACAATGTCTGCCTTTTTAGTGTGTGTGTGTTGGTTTTTTTTGTAAGTAAAAATAATCACTAACACCAAAATTTCTTATTTTTATAAGTAAAGGGTAGAGTGCAGAAATCTTCTTTCAGCCTGCTGAGCACTACAGCAACAGGTAGGGGAAGGGAAGTGTTGTGTTAAGTGGCATTTTTTTTTTTGCTCTCCAGGAAAGTATTGTGCCCTGTACAAGTTTTCTATTGCTTTTCTTCATGCACACACACTAAAGATTTGACATCCTTCGTGTGGAGCAACACCTTGGTGAGAATAAAAAGTGGTTATGTGATTTGTGCAGGACAGTAATGCACTGTATCTGGACCCAGAATCGTATGTTCCCATTTTAACTGGTTGTGAAGAGAGCAGCAGGAGGGGCTCAACCAGGACACCGTTAATGCGAGAACCATCACTGACTGTGTTACTCAATGCTTAACGCAGAGTTTACTGTGATGATTGCAGTATTATGTCTGGCATTTCATTTAAGGCTCTTTAACCTAGAAACCTAAAAAAGTTTTTAAAATGAAATGATATCAAGCTTAAATAGTGCTTTTCAACCCTCCAAGGGTTTTCAGAACCGTGGCATATCGTATTACCAGTTACTCATCCGTGACTGGATTCTTGTCATTACTTTTAAAGAACAGACTTTCTGCATAAGTCATCTGGGGACAAAGAATTATTTGAGCTTTATAAATACGAATTTTTTTCCAGACACTACTGAAAATGTATTCAGTTCCAGAGGTCTCATTATCAAAACATTTTTCCTCATTTTATCCTTTTCAGATTTTCACAATCTTCAATTAGTATCATTACATTTTCCAAAGAAATACTCATAAAAATATACTACACTTAAAAAAATATGGTTCAGAACTCAATAAGACTTATGTGATATCCAACATCTTTGTTAATATATCACTTTCATCTAATTTTATCTAAAAGGCCTCATCATCAAACTAGTGGCCTATGCCATTTGTTTAGATTTTAACTATTAGCAATTCAATTGGAAAACT